ACAGGGGCTGCAGCCGTCGCCGTCGCCGTCGCCGTCGCCGGCGACTCACGGCAGCCCAGCTCCAGGTTGAGCTGTAGTTCAGCATCTTAGCTGTAGAGGGCAGTGTCACTGGCCCTCCTATGTGGGATCCGAACCGGGGCCCTCTGGCATCCCAAGCGAGTTCTTAACCATTGCACCACTCAGCCGGCCCATCTCTCATTCTTTTTAAATGGTATTTTATTGAGATATTATTTGCATAAAACAAAATGCACAAATCTGAACTGAAATCACAATTTTACAAATGTATACACCTGTGTGACCATCACTTACATTAAGATATACAGCACTTTTATCACCACAGAAGTTCCCTGGTACCTGTTTTTTGTCATTACTTACCCTGCTCCCCTGAAATCGCTGCTCTGGTTTCCATCACCAAAAAAAGTTTTGCCTATTTTTATATATCTATATCTATATCTATATCTATATCTATCTATCTATCTATCTATCTATCTATCTATCTATATATTACAGCGGGAGTACCAAAAAAATGTATACAAGTGGACACTTTGGTAACGTTGCTAAAGCAGTAGTTCACCGTAATCAGAAGTGTCTGGACGCTGATGGTAACCACTTTGAACACCTCTTGTAATTGCAGAAATCAAATATGACTTGTATTCATCTTTTGTTATTGGTATATATTGAGTATTACAGTTTTAATACAGTTTTCCATTCTTAAAATGAGTATACATCTTTTTGGCACCATATATTTATATATTATATATATATTATATACAAAGCATATAAAGTATATACTTGTATGTAAACATTATGTTTAGCCAAAGAAGCCAGACAAATGATACCATTTGCGGTAACATAATGTTTCCGAGGCTTATCCAAGCCACTTTATATAACAATTGTATGTTTTTTATTGCTGAGTAGTATTCCATTGTATAACCATACCACAATTTCTTGGTTCGTTCTCTGGTTGATGGACATTTAGGTTGTTTGCTGTACAATTTTATACTCCCACTGGCACAGTGTATGAGAGTTTCAGTTGCTTCACACCTTAGCTAACTGGTTATATTGTTAGTCTTTTAAATTTAGCCATTCTAGTGGGTATATAAAGCTTTCTCCTTGTGGTTTTAATTTGCAGTTCCCTGATGGTTAATGTTTAACATTTTCTTTAACGTGCTCACTAGCCATTTGGATGTCTTCTTTTCTAAGTTTTTCAAGTATTTCGGAAAATTAAGACAATTAAAAAATTGTCTTAATTTTATTGGTTAATAGGAATTCTTTATATATCTGAATGTGAATTGTTTGCCAAATATTTGTATTACAGGTATTTCCTTCCAGTCTGTGACTTGTCTTTTCACTTTGTTAATAGTGTCTTTTGATTAGCAGAAGACTTTAATTTTGACCAAGTCAAATGTATTCTTTTCTCTTTCTGTAGTAATGCCTTCTGCATCCTTGCATGCAGAGAGCTGGGATCTTTTTCCAAACGCATAGCATAGGAAATAGACATGTGCAGTTACCCAGATCACTCAGTTACATAATGAAAACTTTGATAATCTCCTGGTAAAATTTAAAGTGGAATGAGGGATGTAGATTTTATAGATGACTTGTTTGAAGCTGGAGCAGGAAGGCTGAAGAGTATAAAGGCGGTTGGAGCCTCCAAGCAAAGGATTAAGAAAAAGGTATACACAGCTATGAATCCTGTGAAAGTCATTAGATATAGGGTTGTGCGGAAGAGGTGGAGTAGAGAGCAGTGACGTCCTGGGAAGCTGGTGATCCTGAGCCTGTGGCGGCTGTCTGGAGTACAGACTATATGTGCCTCTCAAGACTGTAGAATCTCAAGAATGGGAAATGGTAGGAGCAAAGGAGGATGTTGGTGTGTCAGTAACTTCATGAGGTCTTCAGTATGGTCCTATAAGACAGAGAAGTTTGGAGCTCAGTCACCCTGTTTTAAAGCAGGTGTAATATGGTTTTGCTAGGAGTGGCTTGCAATCCAAGTTTACTGGAAGTCCTATAATTTGGAGCCTTGCAGGGCTGGAAAAGTTGAATTCTCTACCCCAAGAGAAAGGACCAGCTGCGATAGGAGACTTAGCCCGAGACCAGTTTGAGCAAAAAGACCAGCCTACTACTGCATTGCAAAGCTTTAAACATTTTCTGCCCACGATGAGGAAAAACCTGGGGTCAAAGAACAGATTACAGATGGTCTCTCTGTACCTTAGATGACTACTTTGAACAACCTCAAGACAGAGCCTACTTAGCTGAGTGCCAGAGGACAGGCAAGGCGCGGAGGCCTGTGGTTACCAGAATGGATTTCCCAGTCTCAAAGACTGTGTCTAGACAAGATGTCTGGAATTGACTGGAAGTGACAGAAAACCCTTAAGTTTTAAAAGTCTGATTGGCAATTCAGTTTCTTTAAAAATCTCTTTGATAATAGCTAGTGAGTTTTAACTCCTATGGCCATCCCAGGCTTGTGAATGTTACCGAACTCAAAGGGTTCACCACTTGGGGTGTTCTATTCAAAAACTAGACGTGGCTGTCATTAGGTAGTTTTATTTACTTGCAGCAGGTAAAAGAGACAGGAGATTCACCAGAAGGGAGGCTTAGCCATTGCTTATACACTATTTGGTTGATTTCTTCTTTGCAACTGGCTGCTAGACTTATCTGGTTGGGGTAGGGTCAAGCTCACCTGGTTACAGCTGCATTTACAAAATACTGTGCTACATTTTAACATTTAGCAAGAATAGCATTTAGTAAGAACTGCCCAGACCTTGAGACCTTTGTCCCATTTAACATTATTGAACATAAAATGCATGTACTATTGCACGAAGTGATTGTGCCTGTTAGTTAAAGCTGGAAAAGCTTTTGCAATAGAATCTTTATGACAACAATAGAATGAGGTATGTGTGTTCAATTCCTGTTTTGGAGAATAAAAAAATGATTGCCAGTCTAGATCCACATCTGAGAAATACTGAATTAAAGTTACACCAATTTCTTTACTACAGGACTTCTCAGAGCTTTTACTATATTGTGAATTGCAATTTTCCAAGAGGGAAATACAGCATGCAGCATTTTTCAAAATTATTTGACCACCGAAATATTTTTCATTGTTTTATTAATATCTCACAGACACACCTTCAGAGATCCTGAATTACCCTTGGCCATCTTCAGTAGGAAAGAGTGGAAACCATAAAGGCAGGGCTAGATCAGTTGTTGCAGAGCCTTCTGACTCCTAATATAACAGAGAGCCTTCCTCTCTGTGATGGCTCCATTCTGTAGATGACATGGGTCTTGAGCGGTCAGCAACTGGTCTCAAGTCCGTGGTATTCAGTGGCTTGTTGCTGTACTTACACAGTTTATCATGGCGCTTTAGCATGGGATCCAAGTTCAATCCCTGGCATTCTGGAATGTGTCTTTGTGGCAGCGAGTCTGATGCCAGGAAAACCTTTGTTCTGGGAGACAGTGGACTACCCAGTGCTCTCCTCCTTCCCTCTGACTGCCTGAATCCCATCCACCTTCTGGACTCCAGATGAGCTCACTCCACAGAGCTTTCCTCAGCTGCCTGGGCCATGGTGACTTCTCCCTCCTCTGATCCTCTGACCCTGGCTGCCCAATGTTGCTAGTGGGCTGAACTGAACCAGATCGTAACCTCCTCAAGGCAAGGACCCCGGGTTATTTACATTATCTGAGTCACGAGGTAGGACAAAATAAAAATTTATGGATGAAGTGATGCTAGAGATTAAGGCTTCTGACTGTGATAAATTGCCACCAAATAACCCTCAAGGACCCAGCAACCCACCATTCTTTTGATCGAGGATACCAACCCATCATATACTCTTTCATGTGAGATCTAAGGAAATGATAGGAGATATGGTATGTGCAAAAACTTCATAAACGGTAAGAAATCATACCAGTATTGTTATTAATATGGTTTCCACTGCCCTGATTTGTGATTGGTCCATTTCTTTTTCTTTAAGATTTTATTGGGGAATTGCGGAAGAGGAACAGTGTTGAGGAGTTGGAGGGGAACGGCCAAGTTGTTGTCTTTTAATTTTAGTTGTGGAGGGTGCAGCTAGCTCAGCTCCAAGTCCAGTCGCCATCCGGCCGCCCATCAGCAGCTCGCAGCCACTCAGCTCAAGGTGCCATATTCAATCTTAGCTGCAGGGGTGCAGCCCACCATCCCATGCAGGAGTCGAACTGGCAACCTTATTGTTAGGAGCATGTGATCTCACCAGCTGAGCCATCCTGCCACCTGTTAGCAGCTCAGCAGCAGCTCAGCTCAGGCGCAGCTCACTGGCCCATGTGGGAATCGATCCAGCAACCCTGCTGCTCAGAGCTCGTGCTCTTAACCAACTGAGCCACTCGGCCGGCCCTGATTGGTCCATTTCTAATGATCCTTGGCCTTCAATTAATCTTTTCAGTAACTTAGACTGACCCATTTGCCCCACCCACTAGATGGTTTATTGTAATATTTATCTTTTCAGGAGTGCATTTTTTGGTAGTCTGACCACCTGTACCACACTGTTCCAGAGTCCCACAATCAGTCGGCCTAGCAAGTTTCCGATGCCCATGCACCTTTACGTGGAGCATTGGAGATGGTTCTTGAAGTAGTGGAGAGCCAGCTTGAACTGGACTTGGGCATTGGTGTTGGCCCGGTATTTTCTGTAGGTCTTTTCCAGGGCAGCCAGCTCTGAGTCCTCCACTGGGGAATGGGGCTGGTGACTTATAATCACGTCTGAGCATGATCCCACGAACAGGCTCCCAAGCCCATCAATAAAGAACTCTGCCAAGAAAGGAAGAGCACCAGAAGGAAATGTGAGCTTAAGGCAGAGATCTAGGGCCATATTCCAGGTCTGGGAGGAGAGTCAGGGGGAGAGGACACAGTTTATACCCCTGGGGAAATTCAGCCCCATGCAACGCCACCTGCCCATGCTGGTGAGTTGGAAGGAAATAAATAAGCTCATTTTTTCAGATAAAGATATGGGTGAAGAGGCAGAAAGACATGGGCTAGCTTTCCAGCTGGACAAGACTATGGACTCCAGAACTGAGGGAATGAGAGGGGAAAGAGAGAGGGCCATTAACCAGTTGCAGTTAAATAGGAAAGGATTTCTGGAAAATGAGAATAGGAAGCAAGGTAGGAAAAGACGGAGGGGACAGAGCTGTGGGGAAAAGAAGGGGGGAGGTGTCTCAGGAACAGCCTGTGGGAAACAAGAAGTCAGAGAGAGGGTGAAGAGGGAGGCAAGAGAGACCATGAGCTCCCTAATTTGGGGTGAAAAGGGAAGTAAACCCATTGTTGCTTGACCAGCGGCCATGGTCAGTGGAGCATAACCCTTGGAAGAACAAACTTCTGAGGTCAGTTCATAGCCTCGTTACCTGAATGAGCCACTCGTTGCAAGCGGGGGTCAAAGCCAACTCTTTGAAGTCTTTCTGTGTGCGCCAGGAAGAAGTTGACAACGCCACTGGTCACCACACAGTGAGGGAAGCCGTCCAAAGGCCGGAAAGATCCTGACCTCCGGTGAAGACAGTCCCCATTCTCACTTTGCTCCAGAAACAGCTTAAACTGAAACAAGTTTCCAAGCACATTGCCGCCTACCTATTCATGGGCAGAGAAATCCACATTAGAGAACATGGACTCAATACCCATGTTGCCATGCCAGGAAGCCTTACTGGCCTGAACCCGGGTTACAAGAAGAATCACACCTTTTCTCTACCCTTCATACTGTCCCTCAGTTACTCTCTTCTTGCTGTTGCAGCCTCAGCCTTCAGCACATACTGTTGGGTCCTTTGATCTTTCATTCCTGCTTACCCCCAGAAAACCATTTTGGTGGGAGCAAAAAGCACTTACATCAAGTCCAAAGGGCAGACAACTTCTCTGCTCTGCTTACCCTACAGCAAGCTCACCCTTTCAGAAGAAGCTAATTTACTCCCTTCCATTAGGAGTAATTTGGGTGCAGGCAAGAGGCAGCCCGATTGTACCGTGGTCCGTGTGTGGGGTCTCCACTGTTGGGGTTCTTGCAGCTTCTTGCAGTTTGTCTCAAGCTGTCTTCCTCCCATTCTCTGCTCTTGGCTCACCTCTCTGAGCAGCTGTCCATGCACTCATGGGAGACATGTGCAATTATTGTATGTCAGAGCCCAAGCCAAACAGGACAAGCGACTACATCTATTCCTGAACCATCATAATCATCAGGGTGGCACGGTGAAGTCTGCTAATCATCCCCCATCATCTGTTCTTTCCTTCTTTCATTTAGTAAATGAACCCTCTGAGTTTTAAGTAAACTAAATTAAGATACAGCCCACTACCCAACTAAAGACGGAATTCCCCCCACTTCTCTTTCAAGGTCTGACCATGTGGCTGAGTCTTGCCTGAAGGGCTATGATTTAGGATGGAGGTTCTGCAATTTCTAGATCACATTCTTAAAAGAAAGACGTTTGCCCTCCATTCCTCGCCCTCTCTTTCTTCTGGCCATGCAGCCGAGGACCACGAGGATGGCGGAGCCACAAGTGAGGGAAGCTAGTCCAAGATGAACCTGGAAGCAGAGTCAAGTGCCAGCTTGGATTCTGACGTGTGCAGGAACTACACCTTCTATCTCATTTATGCAATTGTGACTTGATCTTTCGAGAGTAGCCAAGGGATCTCTTAGTCGGTCTAAGAGTGTTGGGGACTATCCACCTGCTAACAATGCCATTTACCTTCTGATCCATTTCCTTTCTTTTTCTGAAACAGCTTTATATCTATATATATTTGTTATGTTAAATTGTATACATTTAAGGTATATGGCTTGATGTTTTGATATATGTATACATTATGAAAAGATTACCACAATCAAGCTAATTAACATGTCTGTAACCTCTACATAATTACCATTGTGTGTGTGTTGAGAGGATTTAAGATATACCTTCTTCTCAAATTTCAAGAATACAATATAGTATTGTTAACTTTGATCGCCTTTTTCTTGTCTTTTCTATGTGTGAATAGACTTTTGATGTTTTTATTACTTTTTTTTTTTCAAATATCATTGGGGATATGTGTGCTTTTAAAGCTCTGTGCCGTTTACATTTTTTCAAGTGGTGTGTGACAGAACCAGAACACTGCTCTCTTTCATCTCACACCATTCCAGGAAGGAAGTTAGAAGTGATACATTAACACATCATTTTGAAGATGAAGCAATGGTGAATTAGGGAATGGGTATAATTTACTCAAAGGAAAGTAAATATGGAGGCAGGAACAGAACTCACACATCTCCTGACTCCTGGTGTGATGCTCTCAGCCTCAGAGCTTTGCTGGCTGTTCCCTTTCTGCATCAGCCCCTCTCCCTCACCTTCCTTCCCTCTCCTCTTCTCTTTTCTTCCTTTTTTCCCTCACATATGAATATGTTCCTCTCTTCTCTTCCCTTTCCCTGTCTTAGCTGTTTCCACAGATTGCAACCAGGGTGAAAATGGCAACTCTCCCTTACCACATCCAGTTCAGTTTTCTCCAGAACATCCACCAGCCTCTCAATCTTGGTGTTGTTGATGAAGAGAAAGTCATCGTCCACCCAGAGAACATATTTCGTGGTGACCTGAGATATGGCCAGGTTCCTACCAGCGAACCAACCCTGTAGGTGGAATGAGGTTAGATCGGTGGTTGTCAGGTCTGACTACGTATTAGAATTATTACTTGGAGAGCTTTCTCAATTCGCAATAGTCAGGCTGCTCTGTCTCAACCCCAGACAGCAGTTGAGAAGCACTGGATTAAAGGGACTCCATGTCTCAGAAACACTGGAAGGAGGACAGTGACTTTCTGGACTAAAGACTAAAAGGCTAGAAAGACTTCCTTGGCCCTGTGGCCAATATAGATAGATTGAAGTCCTTTTTCATCTGACAGTCTCTGTGATTCTCCTTCCATTTCTCCTATGTTGCCTGGAAGATGTTGCAGGGTGGGACATTCTGGTATGTATAGTATCCATTTCCTTCTGTGTGCCCTTGAAGGAAGGTGTGCGGGGGAGAGAGACAGCGAGAAAGCTGCTCCTGCTTGGGTGGGATCCTAGGGATGAGAAGTTTTCTCTGCTGTTGGATCCGAATGTCAGGAATTCTTGGGATGTCAGACACCTGAAATCACTTAGAAGGACCTCAATCAACATCAAGTGTGAGGAAAGGCAGATTAACCACACCATTAATACAGAAACATGAGAGATCTAATTTCACTATGAATTTGGAGTCAACAAGGGACCTCAGAGGACAGCCCCACCCTTCCCACTCCAGGACCCTGCTTCCACGGGAAGGCCAGTGAAACAGCCCCATCCTGGGTAGAACCTGATGAGGGAGCCTCTTGTCCTAGGACCCACGTGTCTCCCCATCCGGGAGAACCATACCTTCCCAAAGGGCATGAAGTAGTACTCCACGTGGCTGTCATTAATTTTCAAGGGCTCCTTGCTGTCGTCAGCCACGATCACGGTCAAGTCTGGATAATAGTCACGAACACTCTTGAGCATGGTCATGAGCTTGTGGGGACGGAGGAATGTTTTGGTGGCGATGGTCACCAGGTCTCTGAGCTTCCTCTCTGGGCAAGAAAGAGTGGGTGTCAGAGTTCTTTGTTTCAGGAAGCTTCACTGTCTTAACTTGCATTGTTCTGGTGGTTTCTTTATGCCACAATCTCTGTTTGCGGGCCTCATGCCTCAATAGGTGCTTAATAAGGGTTTGTTCATTGGATTAGAAAATAAATATATTTAAAACATAACCATTTCAATTTGTTGAAATTTTATCCATCTTCTATTCTAGAGGTCTTTCTCTGGTTCTGTTGGCTCCACTATGCTATTTCCTACTTTCAGATTGAATGCTTTATTATATACTTGCCTGTCAGCTCTTCACTTGCATCCTGCTTCCATTTAATACTAGGAGTTGAGATGCACGGAACTTTGCCCATGAGTATGGAAGGTCACAGGGCCCAGGAAGAGGAGAGAAGGTCTAAAGGACTTGAGACCTGCCCCTGTCATCAGCTGAAGCTCCTAGAGAGAAATCTACTTGGACTTTATGCTCAGGAAGATGTGAGTGGAAGTACTCATAGGTCTACTTGGAGAATGGAAGGTCAGGACCAGATTGTTCAAAACCCCAGTGTAAGAGGATGGACTAGGAATCTGGAGATACTGGGAACAGAAGCAACTGTAAAGCTGTGTGATGGGAAGGAGTCTAGAGAGAAAGAGAGAGACACAAAAACAAAACAAACAAGCAAAGCAAAAGTCTTCTACTCAAGAGGGCCTCAACAACAAAAATTCCAAAACACTCAAAGGAAATTAGTATAAGAATAACAGCCAACATATCTACCATGTGCAGATGAACCCACTCCGGAAAGACTAAAAATAACAGAGACATCTGAAAATGATTTAAAATGAGAATGTTTAAAATCTTTAAAGTGATAAGTAATAGAATCACACATATTAAAAAAAGAAAATATGAAGCAAAAACAGGTATAAATGAAATGAGAATATTTGAATATAAAAACCACTTAAAATTATTGAAGATCAGTGTTAAGAACCTAAAGGGAGACATGACTTCAGATGTATTAAAATGTTATAAAACGGCTAAGAAAATGCTATGAACAACTTAATGACAAAAAAAATTGGTGATTTTACATCAAATGGACATTTTATAGAAACATTTAAAAAATCGACTTAATGTACATATAGATCAATAACCATTAGAGACACAGAATTATATTTTAAAATGTCCTGATATTTTAAATATCACCTGATAAATTCAATACTGATTCATAATAAAAACTCTTAGCAATGAAATAGAAAATAGAAAGAAGAAACAGAAAAATGCTTAGCAATAGAAATAGAAAGAAAGAAGGAAACTTTCTTACCCTGCTATATCTACCACATTCGTACACAACAAACATTAGTGGTATAACATTATAATATTTTTCTTAAAGTCAGGAACAAACAAAATTGCCTGTTACCACTGCTACTATTCAACACTGTAATGGAGATTTTAGTCAAATGCAATAAGACAAGATAAAGAAATTATAATTGGAAAGGAAGAGACAAAAACCATCATTATTTATCTAAGAGACCCTATATATTTTTTTAAAATCACTAATGAAGAATACAACAAGGAGGGCCAGCCGAGTGGCTCAGTTGGTTAAGAGCTCGCTCAAGAGTTTGAGCTCTGAGCAACAGCGGTTTGATTCCCAGCGCGAGCTGAGCAGCCGCTGAGCTGCCAACATGTGGCAGGATGGCTCAGCTTAAAAAAATTAAAAGTAAATAAATAAATTAAATAAATTAGGACTTATTTTGAAAAAAAAAAGAATACAACAAGGATGCTATTTATAAGTCCAATTCAAAAATCCCTAAAGAGGGCTGGCTGAGTGGCTCAGTTGATTAAGAGCTCACTTGGGAGCACCAGCTCTGAGCATCAAGGCTGCAGTTCGGATCCCACATGAGGACCAGTGATGCTCGCCCTCTACAGCTAAGATCATGAACAACTGCTCTACCTGGAGCTGGGCTGCTGTGAGTCGCCGGCGATGGCGTAGACTGCCCCGGGCTGCAGCGGGCTGCAGCGGGCTGCAGTGGGCTGCAGTGGGCTGCAGTGGGCTGCAGCGAGCTGCCGTGAGCTACGTGAGCTAGCGTGAGTGGATGGTAGCCGCTGTGAGCGGCCGACCAATGACCGGCGACCGATTGCAGCACCCAGGAAGAGCACAATGATCATACCAACATGGGCCAGTGAAGCGACGTCCTCCACAACTAGACTGAAGAGCCAAAGGACAGCAACTTGTCTGTTCCCCTCCCCCAATTCCCCAATAAAATCTTTTTTAAAAATCCCTAAAAACCTGTATACTAGCAACAACCAATTAAAATGTAGAAGACAAAGATCCAACTCACGATAACAATAAAAACATAAGGTACCCAAAACTAAATTCAATAAAAAATGTGCAATTCCTTTATAAATAAAATTACAAAATAAATTACTGAAGAACCTATAAAGAGACTGCACCATGGAGCCTATAGTATACAGATATACTGGAATCATGATTGGGAATATTCAACTTTATAAAGTTCTCAGTTCATCTGTAACTAATCTATGAATTCTACGAAATTCTAATCAAAATCTCAAGGATTTCAGAGGATCTTGACGAGCTGATCCTAAAATTCTAATGGAAGACTAAAAGAGCAAGAAGAGCTAAGAAAATTTTGTAAATGAAGTATAGTCATCCACAAAGTACAGAATTTATCCCCACAAGTAGAAACCCTGTTATAAAGAGTATCGAAATGTTATGGAATTAGCCCAATGATAAACTGATCAGCGCAACCTAATAAAGCCCAGATTCAGACCCCTGCACATATGAAACTTGGTGTGTGACAGAATGGCAATACAAGCCAGGGAGGAGAAGGATGGGCTATTCAACATATGGTGTTGGGACAATATGCTATTCATACCCCCCAAAATTACACCCCTATTGTATGCCACACATAACTTCTAGGTAGAGCAAATATCTAAATGTGGAAGCAAACATGTGCAACTTTGGAAAAAGATACAGGAGAGTATCTTTATGGCTTCAGTGCAGGGAAGAATTTCTTGAACAAGGCACAAAAAGCAAAAGCTAGAAAGAAAACAACCAATCAATTCTACTCTACTAAAGGATAAAACTTTCACACAACAAAAGACCCCAGAAATAAAATCAAAATACAAGCCATAGACGAACAAAAGGTCAAAATCTAGAACATCATACCGTACAATGTGATAATTTTTATGAAAAGTTCGAAAATGCACAAAACCACACTGTATGCTTTGTGTGTGTATGTAGGAATAGAAATCTACATATTAAATGTGCAAAAGCAGGGAAAAGAAAGATACACATGATGATGGTTGCTGGAGGAAGGGAAGGGAATAGATTGTGGAGATTTCCATTGTGTCTATAACACTTTATCTTTAAAAAACATAATTGAAGCACCTCCCCCTCAAAAAAAGATTTTTTGGGGGCCAGCCGAGTGGCGCGATGGTTAAGAACTGGCTTGGGACGCCAGAGGGCCCTGGTTCCGATCCCACATATGAGGGCCAGTGACACTGCCCTCCACAGCTAAGATGCTGAACAACAGCTCAACCTGGAGCTGGGCTGCCATGAGTCGCCGGCGATGGCGTAGGCTGCAGCCCCTGCGGCAGTGGGTTGCCATGGGCTACCGTGTGTAGCCAGCAGCCAGCGTGAGCGGCCAGCAGCCGCAGTGAGCGGCTGTCCAGAAGCCGGCGACTGATCTGCCTCACCCGGGAAGAGCACAATGATGGTGCCAACCTGGGCCAGTGAAGCAACGTCCTCCACAACTGGACTGAAGAACAAAAGGACAGCAACTTGTCTGTTTCCCTTCCCCCAATTCCCCAGCACTGTTCCCATCCCCCCAATTCCCCAGTAAAAATCTTTAAAAAAAAAAAGTTTTTTTTTTGGTGAATTTTCTTGTATTTTATTTTTGAGATAGTGATGTCAAATATTTTAAATCATTATCCATGATATTTAATGCTATTTAAAATAATTTAATTTATATTTTGGATAGAATTATTTGGATAGATTATAGTTTTACTATGTAGGTAATACACTTTTTTAAATGCCAAGTGGTTCAAAATTCTAAATATATAGAAAATAATACCATGAAAAGAAATACTTTTTTCCATCCCTGTCCCGCAACTATTTGGTTTCCTCCCTGGAAACAACCAATATTACCGATTTCTTGTTTAGTTTTCCATAATCAAGCAATTAGGTACATACATTCTTTTCCCCCTCTTTTTCTTTTACATAAATGGTAGCTTACTCTTCACTCTCCTGTACCTTGCTCATATCTTGGGGAGCATTTTGTATCAGAATTTAAAAAGCCTAACCCTCCTGCTTCCCTTCTTCCCTTCTTCTGAATGTCACTACATGGCATTTCATTACATGGATGGACCACACTTGAGTTAACCAGTGCTTCCCACTTTTAAGATTTTTGTCATTGCAAACAATGCTGCAGTAAATAACCTTGAACAAATGTCACTTCACACAGATGTAAGATAATTTCTATCAGTGGAATTGCTGACCCAAAGGGTACACACATTTAAAATGTTAATAGATATTGCTAATTGCTTCCAGAAATGTGCCAGTTTACAGTCCCGCCAGCAATTTATAAAAATGCCTGTTTCTCCACGACTTGTCCTACACTTGTTGATATGAGTGTAGTTTTCTTTTGTGCTTTTCTTAATGTGAATATATTTTAATAGTTAAAATATATTTTAATAGCTAAAAGCATTGTTGAATTTAATTTTTTGTAACTCATGCATTTTCCACTGGCTTATTAGGTGCTCTTTACTTATTAAGTGTTCTGAATTATTGCTCTAAATTAGACCTTGGACTTTAATGTGTGCTGAAGATATTTTTTCCCAACTTGTTCTTTGTCATCTAACTTTGCTTATGGTGGGTTTTTGCCATAAAAGATTTTTTTTAATTTTTTATGTATTTTTGTGTTTTTAGCCTTTTCTTTATGGCTTTTGGGCTTTGTGTGATATTTAGCAAAGCCTTATACTCTAAGGCTATTTTTAAACTCCATTTTCCCGGTACTTAAAAAAATTAGGTATTTTGGTCTATTTGGAATTTATCTTGGTATGAACTATGACAGATATTCAACTTTCTATCTTCCACATAGCTACACAGTTATCCCACATGATTTCTTAAATAATCCGTCTTTTTCCCTTTTACTTTGAAATGTTACCTTTATTATATGGCAAAATTCCAATGCATCTATTTGGATTTCCGATTTTATCCCATTGATACATCTATTCATGCTCCACTATCACTGTTTTTATTACTATTACTTATTAAAATATTATTAGGTTCATTAGATTTTTTTCAAGATAAGCACAACCATATAGTAAGATAAATATAATTAAGCAATATCAGGGCACTGTGTTCTAGAATTGTTTTCCTCAAAACAAAGCTTGTTGTCAGAGCTGTTATTTTGATCAATTGTCCTCCTCCGCCATGCAGCCCCAGGGACAAGAGCCTTACCCGGTCCAGGGTCATGTAACTTGGGCATGACGGGATGGCGGATGGTCACTGGAAATCTGGCAAGTGAGGACTTGGACTCCAGGCTCACTGGAGGGAGACATACAGTCAGGGTGGGCAGCACGTGTCTGAGTCCCTCTCCACACTACCTCAGGGAAGCCCACATGATGGTGGAGTGAAGGTTTGATAGAGAAGGTCCTAGCTGGGATGAGGTTGAGGACCCCATAGAGTCTATGGCATCTGACTCCTGACTTGCTGTGTGTCCCTGGAGCAGCTTGCTGAATGCCTCCTAAACTCTCATCCCTTGCCCTGTGAGAATCTGTGGGGTGGAGCACGTGTGGATTAAGTTTGACTTTGCCATTTATTATGTGAAATGCCGTGGGCAAATCACATAACCTCCTCCTCCTGCTATAATACTGGCATTATAAGACCTGCCCTATTTTACCTCACAGGGTCATTCTGTGAAAGGAAATGTTTGAAAACCTGAAGGTGGAAAGAACTCGCTCTTTAGTATGTGGTCGTGGGTAATCTGTCCCATGTTTCACTTCTTTTTGTTGGTGTTCTGGAAATGTATCCTGTGCAGCTAGTCAAAAGAGAAAGAAGTGACTTTAATTCATCCAGAAAGAAATGGAGGCTGCCCTGAGGGTGGTAGGAATTGTTCTTCCAGGAATTTCTAGGATGGGGTTTGGAGGTTGGTTGGGAAGGGGTAGAAAAAGCCACTGCCCTTGGGACTGGGCGTTCCCCATGTCCCTCTTTCCTGTTAGTGCCCAGGACAATAAACGGATGTATTGACTGGCTCCCTCCTCTACGGCAGCTGAAGTCTTCAGCTCTGAGAGCTGCCAAGAATAGGGAACAGAAATGGATGGTTGCCAGGCGTGCAGCCTGATGATCTGTCCTCACAGTGAGAAGAGCAGACATTTCACCTGTCCTTTCTATGGAGTCAACGGCAATGTGGGGATAGTATTGGGTACAGTAATTTGGAAGTTAGGTGTCTAGGGTTAGGAACAGGAGCAAGGGAAGAAACTTAACTGTAGGCAGGCTTCCTGGAGGAGGAAGACTTTGAGAGGGCCCACTAGCATTTTTTTGGCTCCCTAAGCAATTTGCCACCTAATTACAGGCTCTCACCGATATCCACCCTGTGGTGCTGGTACACTGTGCTGGTGTAGGTCACATGCTGGAGAATGAAATTCAAAAGCTTCCGGTTACTGGTTGAAATGGTCAGCTGCTTCTGGCCTCTGCCCTGCACCACACTGTCTGGGATGTCAACGAGGGTGTTCAGTGTCCCCAGCGAAGCTGTCAGTGTGACCTAGGATGGATGAAATAGAAAGATGCTAAATGCAAATAAAGGCACATACCCAGCATGGCCAGCAGGGGACAGAACATATTAGGGTGAGAGGAGAAGCATCCTGAGTGCTCCTGAAAGCTAGCATATGGCTCTGCATGGTGTCACTGCTCCAGCCACAGCAGAGGAGAATCAAGCCCTGGGCCCTGATGCCTTCAAGGGCCATTTATTTTCTTAGCTTCTTATCTCTTGGCTTGCAGGATACCATTCTTCTAGATTTCTTCTTATTCTTACTGGCTGCTCCTTTTACCTTCTGATTGCCAACTCCTCCTCCTCCTCCTCCTCCTCCCCCCCTCCTCCTCCTCCTCCCCTTCCNCTCCTCCTCCTCCCCTTCCTCCTCCTCCTCCCCTTCCTCCCCCTCCTCCTCTATCCAACCTCCAAGTGGAGATTTTTTTTTTAAGATTTTATTGGGGAATTAGGGGAGGAAACAGCGTTGGGGAATCAAGGAAGGGGAACAGAACAAGCTGCTGTCCTTTTGTTCTTCAGTCTAGTTGTGGAGGATGTCGCTTCACTGGCCCATGTTGGTGCGCTCTTCTCGGGTGAGGCAGTTGCTCACCGGCCATTGGACGGCTGCTCACAGTGACTCACAGCAGCTCAGGAAAGCTCACGCCCTCTGCCGCCCAGCCCCACTGCAACCTGCGCTGTTGCTGGCAACTCACGGTAGCCCAGCTCCAGGTCGAGCTGTTGTTTACCATCTTAGCTGTAGAGGGCGCAGCATAACTGGCCCTCATGTGGGATCCGAACCACTGCCCTGCTGCTCAGAGCTGCCGTCCCAAGACAACTCCTAACAAATGCGCAACTCAGCCGGCCCTAAGTGGAGTTTTTTAGGGCTTGGTTCTGCACCTTTTGCTGGAGGACTTCATCATTCCCATGGCTTTAAGTATCATCCATATGCTGATGGTTTCAAAATGTGTGTCTGCAGTTCATCTCTTTCTGAGATCCAGCTGCCTAGGTGGTTCTCCTGCTAGGAAGTTTCACAAGTAACTCAAACTGATGTCTTCAAAACTGAACTATTGGGCCAGCCAAGTGACACGTTGGTTAAAAGTTGGCGTGGGACGCCAGCTCTGAGCAGCAGGGCCCTGTTTCGGATCCCACATGAGAGCCAGTGACGCTGTGCCCTCTACAGCCAAGATGGTGAACAACAGCTCGACCTGGAGCTGGGCTGCCGTGAGTCGCCGGAGACGGTGTAGGCTGCAATGGAGCTGCAGTGGGCTCCCGTAAGCTACCGTGAATAGCCGGCAGCCGGCGTGAGCTGCCAAGAGCCACCGTGAGTGGCCATCCAGTGACTGGAGACCAATCTGCCTCACCCAGGAAGAGCGCAATGATAATACCAACATGAACCAGTGAAGCGATGTCCTCCATAACTAGACTGAAGAACAAAAGGACAGCAACTTGTCTGTTTCCCTTCCCCGATTCCCCAACGCTGTTCTCCTCCCCCAATTTCCCAATAAAATCTTTTTTAAAAAAACAAACTTAACTATTGATTTTTCTCTATAAACCTGTTTTCCACCCTCTCCCTGGTTCTCTCTGCCCTGTGAATGGCACCTTCATCTGCTCAACAGCTCAAGTCCCCAAATAAAAGTCACTGCTGTTCTGCTCTTTCCCTCGTACCTTCAGACAATCTATTAGTGAGTCTTGCCAATTCTACCTTCAAAATGTAGCTGAGGGGGCAGCCGGTTAGCTCAGGTGGTAAGAGTACAAGCTAATAACACCAAGGTTGCCAGTTCGAGTCCCACATGGGCTAAAGAACTGTGTCCGCCACAACTAGATTGAAGACAATTACTTGACTTGGAACTGAAGGGTCCTGGAAAAACACACTGGACCCCAATAAAATTTTTTTTTAAAGTAGCTGAAATTGATCCACCTCTCTCTACCCCCATTGCTACTCCCTAATGCTACTCTCTTCTCTGGCCTCCTTGTCTTCTGCAATGGCCAGTTATCTTTATGAAAAGTAGACTGGATTATGTCACTCCTGCTGAAACACTTTAGTCAGTCAATGGATACTTTCTGAGATCCAAATTACAGGCACCTGGGGAAAGAGTTGTTAATAAGACAGGCTCTCTGCATTCAAGAAGGTTATAGTCTACTGGGGTAGAGAGACGATAAGCATATAATGACACACATAAGGTAATTCAGGTACAGGTAAGTGCTATGAAAAAATAACAGTACTGAGAAAGTGACAGAGGTGGGTGGTGGGGGGCTTACCTGGGGCTGTGGGCAGAGAAGTCCTCTGCGGAATAGAGTAACTTTGCAGATTTGCTCACTCACCACCCATTCTAACCTCTGTTTAACATGCAGAGGTGAAAAAACTAAAGCTACATTTCCCAGACTCCTTTTCAGTGAGGGTTCTGGACCTGATTTATATCCCACTGGTCAGATATACTTGCAGAAGACCTTGATGTGGAGCTATAGTAAGTGGGCAAAGCAGGGCAGGGCACAGAGTGTCCGTCTTGGTGGCGCTAAGCCTGCCAGCAGAGGCAACACAAAACAGGAGTCATGACTGTGGCAGCAGCTTCCTCTTGCACAGATGTGGCAGCATCCATGGTAGCCCAGTGCTTTGGTGTTGCCTTGGAAATCCTCCCTGGAACTCCAGCCATACCCATGGCTGGAAAAACTGTGCCTTCTCTAGGTACCCTTTCCACCCCCCACCTCAGACTCATGTCTGTTATTTAATCTGGATGGGAGCTCTGTCATAGTCTGAAACCAGCCACCACTGGAGGAAGGGTGCATGGGCTGTGAATCGAGGACAGGATGCCAAGTGCACAAAGAGGCTGGGAAAGGGACTCTTGCCTCATAGATGGGGGCGTTGGGTCCATCAAATTGGAGACCTGGAAGACACAGGAAAAGACAAAAAACATCATCTGAGAGGATGTCAAAGGTTGTCTAAGACTTGCACCTTCCTGGCTGACTCCATATCCTTGCAGATGGGGTCTGTTCAAGTGCCACCTCCTACCCAGGGTGTTTGCTGACACACTCCCCTCTCCCCAAGTTTCTGTTAGATGCTTTCCACAGTCCTTCTCAAACTCCAGAGGTTCTAAAACCTCTGATGCTCACCCTCAGCTTTGGATGGGTGCTGTCAATTAATCCAGTCCTTCCAGGTATCCCTGTTACTGAAAGGAAGGAAGCCATGGATAAAAACTGAATCATCCTTATACGAGGTACCTAGAGTAGTCAAATTCATCAAGACAGAGTGTACAATGGTGTTTGCCAGTGTCTGGGGAGAAGGGGGAGTTAATATTATATGGATACAGAGTTCCAGTTGGGAAGATGAAAAAGTTCTAGAGATGGATCGTGATGATGGTTGCAGAACTATGCACTTAAAAATGACTAAAATAGTAAATTTTGTATACTTCCCCACAATAAAAAACAAAGTGTCATATCACTTTCTAAATGACTATTCAAAAACACTAACAATTAACCCCAAATATATCTACTTTAGAATCCATCTCTGTTCTTATGACTAATTTAAGCTCTAATTCAAACATATCCTCCCTATGTGGCCCTAGATACCTTACTAAACTCATCTGTGAAATTGGCAAAATAACATTTAACTCACATGTCTGTGATGCTGAACTAGAGGAGTGGGTAAAAATCCCTCATGGAAAGGAGTTTTAATCCATATAAATATTTCACCCCCTGGAGGTGGGCTCATGCTTTGCCTGCTCCTATGATGCTGGAAGACACCAAGAAGCCAATTATGTCCTAAGATGCTTTGAAGCATACAGGTTTCTATCCTCTTCTGTGTTATGTCAGAGCCTCAGGGAGGTCACAGCTACTAAAGGCAATCTCCAGCAGTGGAAACAGTGACACTAACATTAAATGCTATCATGTCAAGCTTCTTTCTTATGCTGGGTACACAGCAGGTACTCAATGAATGATTGTTTCCTTCCGCTCTCCCCTTGTGCTTAAGAAGGAATAGGAAAGTTGCCTGGGTCCGCTCAGGATGGAGATGTACCTACCTGGGATGGGAACTGTGTGCAGGGGCATCACCTCCACCCCATGGACAGGATACCCAAAGGGGAGGTTGGGAGGAGCCAGCAGGGTTGGTGGGCGGGGCAGCCCTTCTCTGCAGGGAAACAGAACTGTTAACAGCTACCCTGACACCCATCCTTGGTTAGTTCTTAAAGCGGTTCCTTGTGCTGCTAATGGAGAAAAAAATAGAAAGTAGGTTGTCTTCATCCCTCTATTCTCTCCACCTTCACGTATTCCCAGCCTCTAGTTCCACAAAGGAATTGAGGCAGTTGACAACAAAACACATAAAAAATAAAAACCACAACCAGCAGAAAAGATGAAACAAAATAATCAGACCATATGGGCCAATCGAGCTACAGTAGCTGAACACCAAAGTCACATGTGAAATTCCTGGTAGCCAGGGTATAAAATGATTGACAATCAGTACGCTGGTCTGATTATCAAAACGGCAAAGCAGACCAACCCCTGAAGAGAAGGAGAAGTTTTCCTGGCATGGAGCTAAAAACTAAACTATATCACAGGAAACTTGATGTGTGAGTGGTTGTTGTCTCAATATTTTTAAAGCAAACACAGTGACCATTTTCAGGTGGTTTTGTTGTTGTAACAACCTTCAGTCAAGGGCAAGTGCATGACACTATCCAGCAAGATTGGTTCTTTGAGGGACTAAGGTAACATGGTTGAAATGTAGCCTTTAGAGATCCAGTTTAACCAAGGATATCACTTAGATTACCTGGAAGACAGGTTAGACTACTGTTGTGAATATTTATGGGAATATGAAAAAGACAAAATTTTACAATAAAAAAGGACATAAATAGGCAATTAACAGAAGGGGAAATACAAATGGTTAATAAATATATTAACACACTTAGCTTCAATATTAATCAAGGAAATGCAACTTTTAAAAAAAATATCTTTTGGGCCGGCAGAGTGGCGCGTTGGTTAAGAGTTGGCTTGGGTGGCCCGCTCTGAGCAGCAGGGCCCTGGTTTGGATCCCACATGAGAGCCAGTGACACTGTGCCTTCTACAGCTAAGATGGTGAACAACAGCTCAACCTGGAGCTGGGCTGCTGTGAGTCACCGTGAGTGGCTGGCAGCCAGCATGAGCTGCCGTGAGCCACTGTGAGCAGCATCCAATGGCCGGCAAGTGTTGGGAGCCGGCCGTGCCTCAATGTTTGACAAGGTCGCATCGAGGTGGAGATCCATGCACGGCGCTGGATGTCTGGGGCACTGCCTTATGGTTGGTCTTGTAATATCTCTTGCCTTGGGAGATAAAAATTATAAATTGGGTTCCTTGCCAAGCACATTATTGTTGTGGCAAATTCTGAAGCTCTGACGGAGAAACAGATACTGCCTTCCATTGCGGAAAATCTAGTCCCCCCTGGATGTATCCCAAATAAGGATAAAAGATCTGATACCCCTTTATATATTGATTATTTTAATCACAAACACGTAGATTTTAGATACATTACACAAATTTTACCCTATACACTAAAGGCAATTTTAGTCACACTGCTAGTCTCTTAGTAATGGACAAAGTATACACCCTGTAATATTAAGATCCTGCTTAGCTAATAGTGTTTAGGATAATTGTTGAGTAGACATAGTCATTATAGGTAAAAAAGATTAGAACATAGTTAAGATAAGTTAATCTTTAGCATAGAATAGATCAAGCTGTACCCTGTAGCATAAGAATTATGAGGAAGTGAAACTCTAAGAAAGATAGCCTATAAGGAAGTAGAACCCTGGGGATAAAAACATCGAAACTATGTAAAAAAACGTTTTACTAATGAGATAATGGTCAACTGTCCAATATAAAAAGGGACATGCTGTAAAAATAAAGTGTGA